GATACCCCCGCCTTTTATATAACTTCGTATTAATCCTTTACTGTATTTATTGTTTTTGTATAACTGATGCAAAAAAGTTTAAAATAAATAAATATACCTACTGAAAAAAAAAACACTATAATAAGCGTGAATTCAATTCTCGTAAATTTCCATACTTCCTATTAATATTATAAATGCGAAAGTTTGTAACGATTAATGGATGTTTATTACTCTTTCACGCAAAAACTTCTGAATGAAATTTCGAATGAAATTTAGTAGACGGAATACTTTATATACTGATTCATGTGGGTAAAGTAGCAAGCACAGCTAGAATTTTAATGTAAGCTATGGATGGATATTACTCCATATAGGTTGTTTGATATCTGTTTTCTTTAGAAAAATCCTATATAAATATAGCTATCTTAGTGCATTAATTATTTTGAAATGATATATGAGTTTCAAGCGATGTTTCCCTCAATTTTTGGTGAAATTTGCTTGACACAATTAAACTGTTTTGCAAAATTTGTCATTAGATTGATACTTGCTAATTTTCACCACCGTACAATACGCCATAAACTAAAATTTCATCCCAACCATCTGGACGAGAGGCGGTCTTCCACCGTGCGTTTTTCAAGGCACTTTCTTCCACGCACAACCACTCTTTGGAATCAACTTCCAGCATCAGTATTTTCGAACCGATACGACATCATAACCTTCAAGAAAAGAGCATATTTATTTATTTATTTTACACTTTATTGCACTAAGTAAAAAGAAAAATAACAAATACAGTAAATATTAATGAGAAGTGATACAAAAGGCGGCCTTATCGCTAAGCAATTTCTTCCAGACAACCTTTGGGTAGAGGACATTGAGAAAAAGACAAAGGGTAGGTGGCGCACTATTATATAGATATTATCACATATATACATATATATATATATATATATATATATATATATATATATATATATATATATACACTAGATATACACAAATAAATATATACATAAACATACATATACTTAATAGCACACATACAACAGAAGAAAGTGATGGAGGAAAATGAAGAGAGAACACAGGATTTAACAGAGGTTTTGAAGCTAGTAAGAGTTTGAGCACACTGAATAGAGGTAGGCAGAGAGTTCCATAGACGAACTGCCTGAACAGTAAAGGATTTAGAATAAAATGAAAAAGTATGAGCGGGAAATTTGAGGCAGAGGTTATTGACACTTTTTTAAAAGGCTAGCAGCACATCTATAATAGCCGTTGGTGTTGTAGGTGATCATAGGCGGCGGTACTTACTCACAATCAGGTGAGCCGCATGCTCTTTTGTCCCATGTAATAATAAAAAAAAAATAGATATCTCATGCATGCGTATTAATGTATTGCATCAAAACGTCAGTTTAAAGGTAACATTGTTGGTTCGTATTACTGCGTCAATATATCACCATATTGCTGTTACGTTTATAGATTTATGGCTGAACGATTGAATATTTGATAGCGCAGTGCCGACGCCGCGCCAGTTTGACAAATAGTTACTGTATCATTATAGGTTGTAATGCCAAATATAATTGACTAGACTAGTATTTTTCCTCTTTATTTATTTTATAAGTTATTAATGTTATATCTTATATCAACAAAATTTTTTAAAAGTATTTTCTGGATCATCGTCATCTTATCAGCTTTTAACTGTTCTATGTTGAATATAAGTCTTCCCTTCAGGGGGTTTTGCCAGTATTGCCATGCTTGACAGGTGGATTGGCAATCGCAGTTAGTCTTTTAGTTAAGTTCCTTAGTCGCCTCTTACGACACCCACGGGAAAGGAAGGGGTGACCTATTCTATGGCGGGACCACACGGTGAATTTTCTGTTATTTTTATGTTTTAGAAAAAAAAAGTAATAAATGATTGACGACAATTAAATGAAAAATGTCTCATAGAAAATGTTTTAAATGTTCATTCAAGTATCTTTAAAAGAAAATAATCTTTTTCTTTTCATTGTTGAATAGTGACCTATATAGCCCAAAGGATAAGCAAGCTGAAGTGGCAATAGACTGGTCACATAGCTCGAAGGTTCGATAACCGATGGTGAACTTTCTTCAGTGCCGACCCCGTACAGACAAACACAGTGTAGGATGGCCCTCCAATAGATAGAGCGATAACCTAAAGTGCATTGCAGGGAATCACTGCATGTAGGTGGCTTAAGATCGTTCTTTATAACAATCTATGGAGGTGAGTTATATTTAGCAGTGGACAGTTAACGGCCGAATGATGATGATGATGATGATTCATAGTTGAAAGATAATAAAATAATAGTGCTGTGATGAAAATAAACCGTCAGCAACGCATTGTCCTAATTCAGAGAGATTCAATTGTTAGTGCAATTGGCCATTGTCAGTTGGGAAATTGAAATAAACTACACGTAGGCATCTAAGTAATTGTGAATATTACTGGTCATTGAGATTATTATGAAACTCCATAGTACACTGGTTAAAGATAGCTTGGTGCGTTCTCTAGTATATCGGCGGTAATAGTGAATTTCACTTTAGACGAATCTTTTTTTTTTTTTTAATTGTAATGAATTTGTGTTATTTGATTACAAATTTGTGTATCTGTATAAATATGATTGATCACGCGAAAGGAATAAAAATAAATTCGTAGGACGGCCTTTCTGAGTGAGTTTATTTTATATATAGGTTACGTCATTTTCATTTTTGTCAATTGTATTTGAAGGTAGTTTTCTTTTTAAAAAATTCAAACTAAATAAATAAACTAAAGTTGAATAGTTTCTAGTAGATTTTTCTATCTTCTAGTTTGTTTTGTCTATTACTTTTGAACCTGTTATTGAAACAGATTTTATGTTTGTATGTGAATAAACCAGGAGTAGGTACGAGTATGTGAACCATATTATTACAGTATGATAATCAGAGGTCCAACGGTTTTGGTATGCCCCATACTAATATATGACAATTCAACCTCATAGACAAATAACTAACGAATCTATCGATAGAATTGTTTCTATTAGCGCTCGCATGAGAAACAACAAGACACTATATCGCCATCTTATTAAATCTCATAGATTTGCTAGTGATTGATTATCACTTGGCTACAGGGGCTGAACGTTTTGCATTACCTCGACGTATTCATTAAAATGGATGAGTTATTTACATTGTGGTATCACCGTTAGATATTACCGGTATTAATAGTAGACTAATATATATATTTATAAAAAAGTCTAAATCGGTTATTTTTATTTAAATTTTGATGAAATTTTTATGTGACTAATCTAAAAGTCTATACTTTCAGATTAAAAAGAATTTTCCAAATCAGTTTATATATGAAGAGAGTTATGAAATACTAAACATAAAAAATACGACCATATTTACAGCCTCTTCTTTTTTGAAGTAGGTTAAAATGCAATATTATCCCCTTTTCACCTGTCCGTTGAAATTTGGTATGTAAATCGATTGTAGGTCCATTTATTAAATTGGATTTTATCCCCCGAAATTCCCACTAGATTAAAATATTAAGATCACAAATTACAAACAGTATAAGCTTAATTCTTTGAAATTTGAAAAATACGAGTTCACAGCTGAATGAAGACATTAACAAAATAATGTGAAGTTTAATAATATCGTCGATTGCCTTATTAGAATTTTTAACGGTTTATTTTGACATTCATGAGACGATCTTGGGTATTAAGCAAGCTTAATAAAGGAAAGTACTCGTAGCAATATATTTATAAACTGAACTGTCGTCCTATGGCGAAAGAAAGAAAGAAAAGCTTTATTGACAATCATTTACAAAATAAACAAAAAACAATCATATATTTGATTATTATAAGTGTGAAAGTGAGTTTGTTTGTTACCCTACAGCACCTTGGAGGCTTATCTGATCACTATGAAATTTAGTATACATTAACTTTATGGGATGCAGATGGATGTACGCTAGTTTTTTTTCCAGTTTATAAATATATCCCGGTGACGCGGACGAAGTCGTGGGTAAAAGCTATTATTCTTATAATCCATATTTATTACATACGTAAATATTGCATTAGCCGCAATACAAAAAGCTAATGCACCTATTTTTGATCATTACTTAAGATTACAGAGAAATATATGTTACTCAGTTGAAACATCTTATCTTTCAGATTTCAGTGTATGTTTACTCAGTCACTCTAAAATGGATTTGAGTGAAATTTGGGGCACGGAAAGTTACATTCTAATTTAATACATAGGAAACTATATACGCGTAGGGCCGCGGGAAATAGCTACTATAACATAATGAAACACTCGAAGTACTAAATAAAAGTCCCCACTAAGCTAACTCGATATTGAAAACCATTTTAAATCCCATGATGTAATGCCAGCTATTACAAAATTCTTTTATCTGCAGACCCAATGAACAATTTAATGCGTTAATACATAATAATCCATCTTACGGTTTATTTATTACAAAGCCAGCTGCACTTAGACGGCTAATGAGTAATTTATATTTAAACCTTCGCATTAAATTAAATGCTCAATACTCTCATTAAATTTAGATAACTTATACTTTTTTTATGGATATTTATATTTAGTTTTAAAATATAAACACTTATATGGTTATTAACTACACACATCGACCGTTAACTCTGAATATTTCTTAGCACGGACAAAACTTTGCTGCAAACATAGGCAATATCTTAATTCTGAATTTAATTCAAATACGACGAAACCAAAAAGTAAAATATAATTTCTCAATATATTGATATAGAAATTATTTTTCCATGCAACATAGTAGAAGGTACAGTAAGAAGAAGTATCTTATACCTATTTTATAAATGTTATTTAGGAGATGCCATTTAGTGGTTAAATATCAATATGTGATAGATGAATAGATGGAAGTTTGTTGCTGTTTTACGTTTAAACAGTTGAATGGACTTCAATAAAATTTGCTACATAGATAGGTTAACACATAGAATATATTATATACCGATTTATATGGGAAAACTGCTAAAATGTTTTGTTTCCTTTATTCACAGCAATGGAAGGCGGTGCGTGGTGCGCGCGCGATATCTCGTTGCGCGCACAGAAGAAGTTCCTGTCGAGGGTGGGCGGCGTCGCCAGCGCGCGGGCCCTTGTTCTCGACGAACACGCCGCCAAGCTCCTCGATCAGGTGGCATTTCATTAATATTGCTTTTGTGTATAATATTATACAGATGAAATCCAACTTATTAGCATGCTTTTAAGGAATATTGTACCAGCAAGACAAGTTTTTCCCCAAATAAAATGGGTCGAATAATGAAAGCAATTTTTGGGCGTCCCATACTAACTTGACGCATACAGCTATCAAGTTAGTGTAATACGTTCAATTTAACTATATTATGTTACAACTATATACTCTGCAACTATCTTAGACCGCTTATATAGTAGACAAAGAGAAAATAGTATCAAAGTGCCTTAGTTTCTTACATACGAGTACATAGTTTATCCAAGTGGATAATATAATTATTCTCATGGATGCACGCCAGAAGTATAGTACTTATCATTTTATCATAATATGTGTTTAATTTTTTTTTTTTATACAACTTAGAATGGCAAACAAACTGATGGTCCACCTGATGGAAAGTGGTAACCGTCGCCTATAGACGTGAGCAGTACCATGAACATAACAGAGTATACTGTTTCGCCCATAATACCCCCCATGCGTTGCCATTCCTGAGGACTCAGGTGTTATTCCTCTGTACCCAGTAAATTCACGCCATATCCCACCCTTCAAACCGAAACACAGCCATGCAAACACAACTGCTTCACGCTTGAAACACGAATGGGACCGGGGTACCCAAGCAATCGACTTTTGTACAAAGTCTCCCTCTGGTAGAATTTATTCTCCGGAATTTATACTAGAATAAACATTACTAACAATCCATCCCCCTACTCCCTTAAATACGATTAGGCAATTTATATTTGGAGGTTAGATTAATTATTTGTTATTGGAGTCTTTCCTTAAAGTTAATATTTACATGAATGAGACACCATATTGTTGTTGTGACCGGAAACATTAATCTAGAAGTATTAACGGTTAATTGTTTGATTATTAGTACGACGTACATGAATTCTAAAAATGGTACAACAGGAAGTTGATCTGAAGTGTTTTACACTAGGTATATCAACTTATTTATGGTATGCTACTTATCCACTGGATTCTAACCCTGAATTTAACGAGTTTAATTAGGCATGAGTAATATGGATACCGATCCGATATCTATATATTGGGTTTCTCTGAACATTGATGGAAAAAGGTTATTACATTTAGATATCGCCCGTATCAGTCGGATATCTATTTTCAAATATATTAAAAGTGTTTTATCCAATATTTTTATTAGACTTTTGTCATATTTGTTATTGGACCAGTATATATCATAGATATTGTAACTAAAATATATATTACATTATTACATATATATAATATTACATTATTAATCCCTAAATTTAATGAGATACAGTATAAACAATAACTTTTACTAATCTACTAATATTATAAATGTGACAGTCAGTATATTTGTTATTTAATTACACTGAAAACGGGCTTTAATTGAAACACATAAACACGATTCTAAATTTATACATTGAGTATTTTTTATACCAACTGCGTCAGCCTTTGCTCTCACGCCTGTCTGCGGGATGCAACTCTACAGTAATTACTAAATATTTTTTGCACGATTCCATTCATACGTGTAACACTACAAATATGTAGAATACGAGCACTTTCCTCAAGTGTCGGAAGTGTAATAGTAAACGTTATAAGTCATATCTTTGGTTACCACATAGTTGCTATTCAACGACCTGTCGATTGTTTCCGTGCGTTGTTTCATGCCTTCCTTCTCTAATGTCAACAAAGTCGATCATAAAAAAAAAATAATAAAAAAATAATAATAATAAGTGTATGATTTTCATATTTTAATATTGTGTACAAATTCAATATTTTTGTTTGGATTCACTTTCAAATTCAAACTTTCAATTTTAAGTTCCAATGGAAAACTTCCCGTTGTTGTCTTTGCTTCGTTAATCTTGTATACTCTTTGGGGCACCTACGTGCAGTGGTGTTACAATGTGGCGGAGTAGACAAATTGCCACAGGGCTTCTGGTTCGAGTGACTGTATGCAAAGGAAGAATGTAACATTTATTGTATAATTAAAAAAAAAAAATGTATTTAATCAGTTTAAGAATTGAGTATTAACTCGAGAACATTTAGGATTATACAAATAAATTATCTAGATTTCAACAAGGTATTTTCAAATAAAACCACACACAAATAAATACACACATTAATTATATTAGTGTTAGCAAGTATGTAATAAAAATGGAATTTCGATATCAAGCATTTTTAGAGAAAGGGACAGCAGATGAATGAAGAGCAGGGCCTCAGACGGTATAGTTACGTCACTACCCATGTGAGCCCTATGGATACTTTTAATGTAGACTTATTATTGATTATATAATTGATTATATATTATATATAATTGATTTATTATAAAACCTGTGACGTAGTATATACTCTGATCCTTGTGTGATATGCGACGCAATTTTATTTATCGATTTCAATGGATACCAATATATTTTAAGAGTAATAGTGGAATGAAATGAATGTATGAATTTAAGAAGTTATATTTACCTACATACTATTTAAAGAACGAAGGCGGTTTAGAAACTCTTTTAGGACTTGTTAGAGTGGCACTGTAACACGATTAATAGTAGTAGGTAACAGATAGTTATGTATGGTAACAGATAGTTATATCTTTTTCAATATCTATTGAGAATAATATTTTTTCATTTCAACTATTTCAGTTCTTAACGGTTCTTCGCGAGCGTCTGGAGAAGCGAGAAGCGGAGAAGTTGGTGAAGCATGTAATCAAAGCGGCAGTGAAGCTGGGGGTACTGCGGCGGCACGGACATCTCTCCCCCGCTGACGATAGAGCACTCGCTGCATTCCGCTCAAAGTTTCATGTAAGACGCAAATTCTTTTAGTCTTTCTCTCTATCTATCCTATTTAAGAGCTACGATAAGAATAATCCTATTAATATTTCAAATGCGAAAGTTTGTAAGGAGGGATGGATGGTATTTACTCTTTCACACAATAACTACTAAACAGATTTGAATGAAATTTGATACACGGATAGGTTATATCTTAAGTTAGCACATAGTATATTTTATAAACCGATTTACGCAGGGAAAACTTGGAATACTCAAAATTTTATAATTTATAACTTTTGTAAAATGTCGATACGTGAAGATAACAATACAAATCCATAATGTAAAATCCATTACATCTACATTAAATACACTTTTGTACACTAGACTGAAAAGGTTATATTTAATATTTCACTTGCATGTTACCTATTATCTCTTAATTTAAAATTGAACTTTGAAAGGCTCGCAATTAATGAGAGTTTATTGTATTAAGAGTCACAAGTCACGATGCAATCTCTTATTGAATATGTATGTCAATAATGTAATAATATAACATCAAACAAGCCGACCCAATTTTCTTAATTTTCTGAGAAGTAATGAATTTTGTATCTAACCATATAAACACAGTTTTTTTTTTTTAATGGGTGATAATGGAATGGTAATCTCGTCTGTGCTTTCGGTATACACTGGCGGGGCACCAGTGAGAGATGACAGATGAGGATGAAGAAGGTCAGTTAGCCCATCCTGACAAATTCAACAACGAATCAATCATGATGGTTTCCAGGGGGAACAGCGTGGAGGTCGACCTGATAGAGTTTATTGCTAGCAATGAGGTTTCTAATCCCCATCACTAACAATCCCTACCCCCATATAAACCCAGTTAGATAAACATAACATATATAGTTCCTACTAATATTATACACGGAAAGTTTATCAACATATTTGGCTATTTCCCCATATAAACCCAGTTTTTCTATCTTGAAGCAGTTGTGTTTGCATGGCTGTGTTTTAGTTTGAAGGGTGGGATATGGCAGTAAGTTTACAGGGTACAGAGAAATAACACCTGAGTCCTCAGGAATGGCAACGCATGGGAGGTATCATGGGTGAAACAGTATACTCTGTTATGTCCATAGTACTGCTCATGTCTATAGGCGACGGTTACCACTTTCGATCAGGTGGACCGTCAGCTTGTGTGCAATTCTAAGTTGCATAAAAAAAAAAAAAACAATATTAAACTCTTTATTGCGCATAGTAGAGATGTATACAAGGAGTATTTATACAGAATGTGCATATACAAAAGGCGGCCTTATCGCTAAAAGCAATCTCTTGCAGACAACCTGGTATAAATAGTAAAGAGATACAGAGAGAAAGATAGATGGATATTTCTATGTTTGTTACTTATTCACGCTTTAATTGCTGGACTAAGTATGAAATTGTGAGTCGTATATTGGATTAACACTTTTAGTCTCCATTAACGCGAGCAAAGCCGCAGGATATAGCTAGTTGATAATATTTTGAACAATAATTTCCAGACTGTGCTGATGGCCGTAGTATCGTTCTGCGAGGTGGACTTCTCATACGACCGCGGATTCTTACAGGATGCGCTGCGTGAATCGCACCAGTCACTAAAGTAAGTTAATTATAGAATAATCTAGCAATGTTGACTCACTTCTATTTAATGTGTTTTGAGGAATTTGTTATTTTATGACTTTTAATTATAATCATAAACAGCCATGTGGTCCCGACATAGAATTGGCCACCCCTTCTTTTCCTGTGGGTATCGTAATCATAGGCGACTAAGGGAACTTAGAGGGGTGGGCAGCAGCGTCCCATTTAAAACGTCACCAAAAGCATAACTGTGGTTGCCAACCCGCCTACCAAGCGTATTGGCAAACCCTCTTTTTGGGGAAGGGTTTTGCCAGTAGTCTATGCCGGGACCACACAGCTTAAGTTATGCTGTATAGAATTGCAATCAAGTTGACGGTATACTCGAAGAAAGTGATTATAAATAGTACCTTGGTTACAGCAATGTACTATGAAGCTCATGGTACGCCTTTAATAACTAATAAAAAAAATTATATCCATATACTTTACAAAATATTAAGATTCACTTACAAAATATTATTTGGACAAATTAAATTATTATTGTATTATTACCTTAAGTTTTACTGTTTCTTTTTTATATATATTTTGTGTCATTATGCCGTATAGGGAAGAGCACTGCTTATCCTAAAGTACAGGACTTCATTACCTATTTAGGGAGCAGGGTTTCACCTATATTTAAAAATGTTTGTAACATTTATTTTGAAATAAACTTTGAAATTTGATACGTTTTAGAAGCCGAATAGTTTCTCAATCAATCAAAGAAGACATTCCCTTCTTTCCAGATCGGTGGTGGAGCGACACCTGTCGGACAAATCTGTGTCGCGGCTGGCTGGCGTGTTCGCACTAGTTAGTCGCGCCGAACTACTAGACTCTCTGTTCGCGGGCGCCGTATCAGCCGACGTCCAAGCTCTCGCCCGCCTTCTCCGTCGCGAGCTCGACCGCGGCCTTCTTTAAGGTGCGTCTCACACTATCAGAGACCATTCTTACTCTTCTTACCTTCGTGACTATGTTCACAACGTTATCTCCACAAATGGAGATTTGTTCACTTAGTAGTTGAGAGAGGTACTGCTTGGCACCAACACTTGGTGTCGGCGTGCCCTGTTCGGCAACCGTCGACGTTTCACCCGTGTTGCACTGTTTTGGAAATATTGGATTGAACGAATGAGCTCGTGTATCGTGTTTGGACTTTGTAATTTATTTCTTCGTGTATTTCCAAAGAGTCGGAAATAATCTGTTTCTTTTTCTTGTATACAAATATTATGTGCAATCAAACGAGACTTAAGTTTTAAACTAGTGCTTCTATTTCTTTTTTTTTTTTCATCTGTCGCACGTATTTCACTGATGTGATCACGTAATTTCCTAGATTGGTGTTTTATATGTATAGATTGAATCGATATTAGCTCTCTCAGATTTTACTCGTAATTATTATATTTATGGTTAATTTAAGTTGAATTTTAATTCAAAATATTGTCAAATGAAACTTGCTTTTTTGAAAGAATTTAATTACATTTGACAATATATTGATAAAAACATGTATTATTATATAAAGTACTCTGAAATGTTTTTCTAAAAGGTCTGTATGGATAGATGTCATTAAGACAACGTATTGGATTGGATAATAACAGTTAAAATAAACTGTTATATATCGGTTTTAAGAGCTTTATTCACTATAATGATCGACTGGCTGTTATATCATAAGTGTAAATTAATTGTAACCGTTCATTTAAAAATAACAGTAGAATAATGTCAGAACAAACTGGTTAGTTAAGTTTTTCTAATCTTAAATTTATATTTAATTGAGTCATTAAGCGCAGATTACTACATGTTATAAATGGTAAAGACTAACACAAAAATACTCATAAAAATTAATCTCCTATTGAAGTTATAATGATTTTTTTTTTTATAAATCAATATTACTGCCTCTTTTTTATAACTGCATTTAATTTATACGTAATTTTCAATTTGTTGCATCAAGTTTTAATAAATCATATTGGTTTGTAAGCACTGTATGACAACATGTTGTATGATTTATAAAATTATATAAGTTAATATTTATTTATTAATTATCCTTAAATAAAACCTATAAATATGATGTTTGTGTAATAACATTTAACACGCTAATTCTTATTCGTCGTTATAACACAATGACACAAATTTTGAGTCTGTATAAATTTGAATTTGAATAAAATGCATTATTTTAGGATGATTCGGAGATTTAGATAAAATTTTTAGTGTTTATATTTCTATTCTAGTATTTGAACACTTAAATCATTCAACATGAAAAACATATGTTTCTGTCTTCAAGTAAAGTTCCATTAACATTGAACTTCGATTGTAAGTTTTGTTAATACGCTGATATGCTAATCATTTGGCGTGAATTTACTGGGTACAGAGGAATAACACCTGAGTCCTCAGGAATGGCAACGCATGGGGGGTATCATGGGCGAAACAGTATACTCTGTTATGTCCATAGTACTGCTCATGTCTATAGGCGACGGTTACCACTTTCCATCAGGTGGGCCATCAGATTGTTTGCCATTCTAAGTTGTATAAAAAAAAATTAATAAAATCCATATTCAGTTGTATTTTTGTTACTTCAATTAATAAATAATGAAATTATATTGTTATCCATATGAATCTGAAATGTCAGTAATTTTCAAGCGACTTTGTGTGGAGACCAAATTTAAACGTGTTCTAATCGTTTCATGATTGGCTATTGAATTCTAATAATTTATCGTTACATTTCATAATTAACCATTACATTCTAATAGTTTATCGTTAAGTTTCATGATTAACTATTATTACATTATAATAATTTATTGTCACATTTCATGATTAACCATTGAATTCTAGTAATTTATCGTCACGTTTCATGATTAACCATTGGATCTTAATAATTTATCGTCATATAACATAATTTTGTCGTCACGGTAATGTTTATACCAAAATTGGGGACGTATACTAAAAATTAAAATCGTGTCATGCTACGATAAGTTATAAAACTGTACATCAGCGGCTAGACAAAAATTTACTTTTTTCAGCTAAGATTTATCACTTCACTAATTCTATCCCGCGACTTCGTCCGCGTGAATCAGTATATGAAATATATCCTATTTTCTAAGTTAGTCTAATTTAAATTTCATTAAAATCTGTTTAATAGTCTTTGCTTGAAAGATTAACAAACAATTTCACGTTTATAATATTAGTAAGATTGCCACACAAAATGTGTAAGTTTCTCTTTAGTAATAACGTATGTGACGAAATAAGTCTGTTTTTTTCTCTTTCTCTTTTATAATATGCTTTTTTTTCTCTAATTATTAAAAAAAAAACAGTGTTGAATGTTCTAAAATGGTATAAAGAAATCGTATGTAAGGATATCACATAACTAATTTGTCTTTGGTAGTTATTAGGCAAGTAGGTTATCACCCTACTGTGCCTTACTCTATTACTATATTAATGAATAAGTCCTTGTATTTATATAAATATAACTGTCGTTATAGAAATTGCATTTTTACAACTAGCCGTATTTTTGCCAGTATTTCACACTATTTAGTTAATTAGATGAATAGTTTTATGATCTATTCGATAAACATACATACATACAGCCTATGTCGGTCGGTATAAGTCTCTTGCCTCATTTTTTCTACGTTCTATATTGTATATTTTGTATTTATAATGGAAAAAAATAATAATGATAATGCATTTAATAGTTGTAAATATCACAATGTTTTCAAATAGAATTGACAGAAAAAGACAGTTACCAATAGTTAGTGATACACCAAAATATAATGTAATAACACGACGAGTTATTTTTTATTGATAAAATAATAAAATTAAATCATATACTCGTAGATATTAATAACCTAAGATTTCATTATAAAAAATGATTTTTTTGTAAGTATCTGTAATTCTTATATGTGGTATATAGGTGTTCTTTTTTACACATTTCGAACTGTCATATGAAATTTTAATTTAAAAACAAAATAAAATGACTGCAAAAAGAAAATATCTTTGTAGTATCTTTATGTTAATTTTCATTGTATTAACTCTATAAACCACCATACGATAGTTATAACTGCGTATTTGAATTTATACAGAACTACTTCGGACCAAATACATTAATGTCTACAAAGTTCAAACATATCTGAACTGAAAATTCATATCTCTGTCTTTATTAGCAATAAACGGTGTTAGTACATAGTTTATATATTGTTTTGTAAACTTTAATCTAAGTAATTGTAGCGTTAGTAAAGGGACTAATTTTCTATTACATTATCCATTGTGTACAAACGAAGGACTTCAATTATTGTGATTCCATAATTGAAGTCCTTCGTTTCGAATTAATTAGAATGGAAATAGATACAGTGATAGATTAAACAATTAAAGTAGTTGACTCACAATGTAAAAATATATATTTAATGGTGTTCTGATAAATATTAAGATGAAATCAATATTAACTTTTTAAGCAACTTTAAAACAGGAGGAGGCTCTCGATTTGGTTATAATTTTCTATGTTTGTTACCTCATATCTTCGTTATTTATAAACAGATTTAGATTTTTCTAAAATGTATCAAAATCGGGTCAGTAATTTAATTTTTAAATCAAATTAACTGTTTGTGCCACGATGGAAGTCAGTGTTTTTTATGTGAAGCAAAATCTGAAATTATAAGTGTGTTTTCCAGTAAGACTGAAGATTTACCTTGTTCTCTACCATAATATTGGTGATTTCTATTGCACCCTGTATAATATAATGGAAAAATAGTCCCAAATTTTCACTGTACTACGCACATTATAAATTCTTGCCTAATATTCTCACTGTTTACTGTTACATAAGTTAACTTCGATGTTAGGGTGTTTACACCATTACGTGTTTTTAAAAGGAGTAACCATGGACTAACACAATACCTAATGAGTGATAACATCATCTGTTGTCATTAACGAGGACCGTCTTGAGTATGATTACTTAATTTAAACTCATTATTTACTTAATTATCGTCAAATGGATTTATCGGTTTGCCAGTCAAGCTGTTCTCTTCCCCATTCAAAGGTTGCCTGTAAACTTTTCTTATAATTGACTGTATTTATAATAATTTTACTAATACTTACTTTACTACTTACTTTGTAATCTATTGAAAAAAACAATAAAGAGTATCTATCTATCTTTCTACCCAATTTGACTTTACAAATATAAAAAAAAAAAACACTCAGGAACGGCGTAAAAAGTTTTGCATGGATGCACAACGTGCTCGTGACGTCACTAGTATTATAGGCATTCATAAGTTACCGTATAATCGGTCAAATGCTAGTTTTCAACTGTCGTTGTGTAACAAACTGGATTGTGATTAATTAATAGGCATTCACAGTTTACGTTTAGAACATACGCAGAAGAATTGACAGTTAAAAATGTTGTTATAAACATGGCTACTCCTTATGCGATGAATGTCTCTAGACAAACATCTGATTATACCAAAGGTCACCCCATCAAGATACGAATACTGATGGTGTATTTCATTTTCTAAGTTCTTTTCATTTAAATAAATCGCAAATATACTAATGTTTGTATCTTACCTCCTCTATTTTCACTTCACAAAACTTCTAAGATTAAACTTCCCAATATATATTTTCTGCTTCTATGGATACTATGGACAACGAAATGAAAGTAGCACGTGGTTTTGCTCCCCAGTATACCAATTTCATAGATGTACAATTACTGAAATTTAAATATATTCCACTTGTGAAACTTCGATATCGGAAGGGGTGATCGGTGGTTTAGACGAAATAAATGACGTCCAAAGTAGAGATTGTATTAAAAGACAATATAATTGTGTAATGTAATGTTAATTTTGTGAAGAATCTCTAGACGATGTTCTATGTGTGATTTACCTGCGAGTGTTCAACACCGTCGAGTGTCGGATCAAATTTTATACAGCCTCTTTGAACAAAATCTTTTCATGATTTTGGCTAGTAGGAAAATCCAAACTGTATGGGATTGCTATTTGCATTTTTTGTGTGGGTATGTGGTAATTTATAAGTTTATACACGCTGTCTGGCACACACACACGTAATGGCTAGTCAGTAACGCAGGAGCCGTGGGCGAGTGCGGACGTTCATCATTGTTTTGTGCGATGTGTGATAGAGACAGCGTATGAGATTAGATTTAATATCTATCCATGACATTAACGTTTTATTATTGAGCATTAGTTTAGTCTTTCTTTAGGTAAGACCAAGATAATAATCTTCAGCGTAGGTTAAGCGACTTGGTATAGAATTTTATCTTGGGTTTTATTTTATCTTGCATAAGTATTGTGTTCTATGACACTAGTGGAATGTTATTCTGTCACCACCTGAAAATATTGGGTAACACTAAGTTGCTATTCTCATACATTTGGAGTTTTCTATTAGCGACACTCTCTCTATGGGGCAGTATTTAGAACGTACAACGTGCATACGATTCGTTTTTACTTATCAGTAGATAGAAGTGTAACAGGCTTTCGTAGATGATGCCCAAAATCGTATGTAAAAAATACTGAGATGTCTTTTGTATTTATTTAGGATTAAAACTAAGTCAATCATGACAAACAAATGGATTTGTTATTTAGCTAACATTTCGTAGACTGAATGCGTTGAGTTAACTACAAAAAAAAAAAAAATTGAAATTCGTCATATCCAAGGTCAAGAAGCCAGAATGTTTACCACACCGTTATTTGTATTAACTTGAATTTTATACATATTACACTCAATTGTGGTGTAATTAATTGTAAACATTTTTACAATGTCAAATACCAAAGCAATTATTTTACCATCTGTTACAGAAGCGGCATTGTAGATAATATTTTAACAATTTTAATAATTGTAACTTAAAGAAAATATGTCACTGTAACTTAATGAAAATATGTCAGCCCTTGAAGACAAGTGGTAAATGAATTTAACGAATTTATCGGTAGATACATTGTGGTGTCGCGTGAATGAGAAATAACAAGACTGCTGTCTCGTTTTGTCTCAAAAGATCTCTAATCGATAAATCGACCGCCACTTGTCTATAAGTGGCTTAATTTCTTCTTTAAACTGATTTCTATCAATTTTTATATTCCTTCTTTTACTTTAAATGCATTGGTGTATTTAAGATTATTTAGGAGGGCAGGGCCCTTTAAAATGGTCTCTTAAACATGTCTTTGAGCAAAGTCTTTTCGCTCACTTCCTGGTGGGCACCAGAATAATCTGAGGTGGGCACCCTACTCCATCTTAAATGCGCCTATGTTTAAATGTAATATCTTTTTTAGTCGAGTTAGATAGTCGGAGAAACTCGTAAGCCTGTTATAATATAATAAGCACAGAAACACGTGACATTTTGCATAGACACCGGGTAGACGGGCTAATTTCCTGTTCGTGCATCGAAGTAAGCCCTACACGCCCGCTGTAGTGTATAATATATTTATTAAGCCTGTGGTATATGTATTAAGATTTGATATCAAATATACAATTGATAAAATTCGAGTTATTTTATTATTCATCATTTTGGTACTTCATGTAGCTTCCTTATAGTCCTTTCTTTTGCCGTGTGTGTCCTAAGAGGTGACTAAGAGAATTTGATGGTAGAAGGAGCATGGCAGCAGCGTTGCTCTTAACACGTCACCAAAACCTAACTGCGGTTGCCAATCCGCCTACCAAGTGTGACAACTACTGGTATAACCTTTTTGAAGGAGGCCTATCTTCAGCAGTGGACAATTAACGGCTGATATGATGATGAAAATGGAAGTAGTTTCTTGCCTTTTTCAGTAGAAATTTTCGTAAAATATTTCGTGGCATTATATTAAAGTATTAATAATTTATGTAAATATTACCTATTGGAGAGAAAGGAATAATAAAGTAATAGTATCGAACAGCCCCATTGTTTGCAGTTTACCCTTACAGGTGGAACTCCATGCTTTCCCCTTAAAAACCGTGGTTATATCGCGTGGAATTCATCTGCTTTTATTCTCACCTATCATATATCACTGGTGACTCGTCAGCGTATACCGATAGCGTACGCAGGGTTACCATTACCATTTACAACCAACTTTAAAAAGGGAGGTTATTATTCGGTTGTATTTTAATATATTTTTAAATGTTTTAGCTCAGAACTCCGTCATTTGTAAACCGATTTGGAAAATTCTATTTTTTTTAAAGGATAAAAATATTACTTTCTGATTTCTTTGTTGCAGACTTAAATTTTACAAAATTGGCTCAGTTGTTTTATTTTTAAATTAAAACAACTGGTTTTGCCATGGTTGAAGTCGTTTTTTTTTTGGTGAAACAAAATCAACTTTTTGGATTTAGATTTTTGCCCGATACAATATCAATAATACCAGCAGACCTTAGGGGGGAAAGGGATTGTTAGTAATGGAGACTGAGAATCCCATTGCCAGCAATATACCCAACCAGGTCGACCTCTTCGCGGTTCCCCCTGGAAACTATCATGGTTAATTCCTGATGAATTCATCATGATGCGCTAACTGGTCTGTTTTCATTCTCATCTATCACCCTTCACTGGTGCTCCGCCAGCGTATCCTGTTAGCGTAGGCGGGCCAACAATATCATTTTCATCCATCAAAAAAAAATACCAGCAGACCAATTCATTGAAGGCGACGAAATAAAACGAGCAATTATGTGAAAGCACCAGTCAATAATTTATTCACTAAAATCCTCTTAGTATACACATCTGATATTGGTGAAGTGAAGACATCGATCTACAAGTGCTGGCGAAATAAGCTCCACTGAACACTATTATATCATAAAACACCTAATGAAATTACTCTCCTTGATTATGGGAGAATTTCTTATATTGTATGTGTAAAGGTAGTAGGGGGCAAGTGTGAACTGTTCCTAAATTTCCTAAAAGTTGGTCTAATTCTACTATCTTTGTCCATTTGCATTTCCATATTTTACTCTTGCCTCGACCGACATGATAGTGTCCAACGACGCCTATTCCGAAATATATTCGTAACTATAGATGTAAAGATGGTTAAAAACGATTTTAACCAAACGGTTATTAATGGTCAACTTCATTAATAATACTTAGTAACCTCTTTAAGGATTTTCTGGACTTAATACCATAGTAAAACGTAAGTAGTAGCTTGAAATGCATGCCATATTTTTTTACAAAAAAAATATTTCAAATAATTTGTCTGTACTTATAAAAACAGAACCAATTTTATAAGTCGCAATCATATGTTTAACCATTAATAACCACATTTCATTGGTTAATAACCAAACCAGACATTTGGTTATTTAATCGTTAATAATCCTTAATTTACAACTATATTCGTAATTTACGAGTAAGATTGTATTAGAGTTGATCCTACAACACTCATGTACACCGATTGAAAATACAAAAACATTGAATTGTTAAACAAAAACATTTAGTGATATTAGGATACTTAATGTTAAATATAATTCCTTACAAATACATATCATAACGACAGCGTTCGTTATTGTAGAATGAAGCCGTGATTATTTACAATTTATGATTTGGAATGTTGAAGTATGGAGTTGAAATCTTAATAAATTTACTAATTATGAAATACCTACATACATATATCTTTTGTTGTACATACAATTTGACAAAACTTTGTGAGTTTTTAATTTTTTTTTTATTTCATATTCCAATCGCATTTTTTACTTCACTTAGGAATGTTTTACTTTAGAAGTAAGACAATTATATTTTATATATTTAAATTATTAAAAAAATGTTGTGCATGTTGAAAATTATACTTTTCCAATTAATTGTAAAATGTTTTACTTTCGTTGTTTAAAAATTGAAATATGTATGATAAATACCCAATATTTGTACCATAAGGCAACACTTTATTTGATATTGTAAAAATTGCGACTAAAATAAAGACATTAAATTACACGGATAACTGTACACTAAGTAAATATTTTTAAACCTTATTGTCGCTATCTACCATAGACGTTGAATTGAATAAATTAAAATTATAAACACGAAGGACACATTTTTAAAGTAAATTTATATAAAATCTTAAAGAACATTATATTATATTTCTTAAATTTAAGATAAATAAATCAAAACTTAGAACAAACCAATCAGAATGAGAGATCAATAGTGAAAGCGCCATCTATGGTGACAAATGCAACACTAAGAAGGTACACGTGACTAAAAGCTCAAAGCCTTGTCAGATGAGCTTTACATAATTTTATTATTTCTAAATCCAAAAGTAACACTACCTACTGTTAGTATAAAATAGATTTATTTTTCTAACCTATTACTATACATGTTTATGTACTAACAATAATAATGAGTATATTCACGAGAAATTCTACGCTGTTCACGATACATGACATAGGAAACAGAATTTTGCCTTCAATAAATCATAAAATATTTTATAAACCCACAAGAACGTCATCAGATCGTCGTACGTTATTGAATCGTTGATTTATAAAATAACATCAAGTATAACGCAATTGATATATAACATCAAGTATAACGCAATTGTATAACGAAATAAATCAATACCAAAGAAATATAGAAAATCATCATCCATATAGCATGAACAATGTCGAACAGATGAATTTTAAAATCGTAACGTATTTTTATAATCAGGAGCATCGATTACATTTAAGAACCTACCTTAATTTATAAGGAAGTAGGTATATTTTTGTTTGTTCAATTGTACGATTTGCGTAGCGTATTAAATGAAGAATTTAACTCCGTCTACCAATTAAATATATAAATTTCAATATATTTTAAGAATTTTAATCAATTCTTATATTATTTACCTGTATAATATACGCTTATGATACAATATTATTCTCATATTTCAGTACTTGGTTTACTGCTAACAAATCATTAGGTGCGCGCTATCCGCTGTTTTAAGTGGTCATCTTTGCTAAGAATAGCAACGTCGCGATGTCTTGTCAGTATTTCTTATCATTTTACCCAAAACATTCATTATTTCCTATATAGTCTATAACTTGATATTATTTCAATTGAAATATGACTGAAATCAGACATTTAACTTTTAAAACCCTTTTTTTAATTTTTAAATAACATTCACAGCATTGAATGAATCTGAAAATCGTTTAAAGAATTTTGAAATGCGTAGGTAATTAAAAATTAGTTATATACTGGCAACACGTCATTATCTTCTTGCAATTGACTAATTAAAATCCATTGTTGCCCGTCTAACAAATAAAAAGTATTACTTAAAAATAATAATTAAGAAAATCTATAAAAATTGACAACAGATCGCGACGTTATAGTTATAGATGGCGCTAATGGCAATGATTTAAACATCACTAAGATCGATAAAGCAGAGGTAGCGGACATTTTTAATTTATTTATTGTAGCTATGTACAAGTGTTACATGAATATGTTTCGTTTTAAACAGTTACCCAATATTTCTATACTATATCAATAAAACAAAGTAAGTTGCAATTATGGTACGTGTTACATTAAGATATTTAGAGTAATTAACAATTATTAAAATAACAGCTTTAATGTTGTATTTGAAAATGTAAAAGATGTTAAGACATGTAGAAACATATCACTAGACACACAATAAACGGGAATGGGGCATACTTATATATTTAGTTTCAGAAACTGTGCGTATGATTACATATAATTTACAAAATATTTAATAGAAACATCCATTCTATATAAATTAAGAAATATAATTTAAATTAATAGTATTTCGAAGTTCGTTGGAAGAGAAATCGTGTAACACAATGAGTGAAGCGTTAACAATTTCCATATAACGTACCTAATTATATATTTTATTAAAAAAATTAATGAAAATGACTAAATATAGAGCAAGTATGGAATTGTTTTAGAAAATAATGCGGCTAATACTGAAACTTTACTTTCAGGTATGAAAACTTAATGCAGTTTTTTTTTTTTTTTTTTTTTACAACACAGGGGGCAAACGAGCATGCGGCTCACCTGATGGTAAGTGACTACCGCCGCCCATGGTCACCCACAACACCTACGGCATTGCAGGTGTGCTGCCGGCCTTTTAAAAAGGAATATGCTCTTTTCTTGAAGGTTATGTTGTCGTATCGGTTCGGAAATACTGCTGCTGGAAGTTGATTCCAAAGAGTGGTTGTGCGTGGAAGAAAGTGCCTTGAAAAACGCACGGTGGAGGACCGCCACTCGTCCAGATGGTTGGGATGAAATTTTAGTTTATGGCGGGTTGTACGATGGTGAAAATCTGCAGCAGGTATCAATCCGAACAATTCTTCAGAGCACTCCCCATGATAAATTCGGTAGAAGATGCACAGAGATGCAACATCTCTACGCAGTTTCAGTGGGTCGAGCCGGACAGTAAGACGCCGATCGTCAACAATTCGAGCTGCCCGACTTTGAATGCGGTCTAACGGAAGGAGTTGGTACTGTGGCGCTCCTGCCCACAGGTGAGAACAGTATTCCATGTGTGGCCTCACTTGAGCTTTATACAGTTTCAGGCGGTTTTCTGGCGTGAAATACCGTCTCACCCTATTGAGCACCCCCAACTTTTTGGAAGCTATCTTAGCTTTTTCCTCCAGATGACCGCAAAACTGGACGTCGCTAGATATATCGACGCCAAGAATCCCCAGACTCGACTTATTATCAAGGGAAGTGCCCTGAAAGTGAGGTGATACGACAAACGGTGTCTTTTTTGCGGTGAACGCGCAGACTTGTGTCTTCTTAGGGTTAAAGTGAACAAGATTGCGTTCACCCCAGATCGAAACTTTATCGAGTGAAGTTTCGATTTCAGACACAAGTCTGTTCCGGAGCTCATCGGTATGTGCCCGCGAGATCTTTGCATGACCGGTGTATAATGCATCTCCTGTACTGTCGTCCGCATAACAATGAATATCACTGATCTGTAACATATCATTGATATGCAGAAGAAACAGTGTCGGAGATAGTACACAGCCTTGCGGGACACCAGCATTCACAGGTTTTAAGTCAGAGCATGCTCCGTCGACTACGACCTTAATGCTACGTTCCTTAAGAAAGCTGGCGACCCAACTGCACAATCTCGCAGGCATTTTTTGTCCGATTGATTTTCCATTTTTCACGAAGGTAGTTTTGAGATTAGTGCCCTATGCCACACCCGATCAAAGGCTTTCGCAATATCCAGACTAACAGCTAAGGCCTCTCCCTTATTCTCGATTGCCACTGCCCATCGGTGTGTTAAATAAACTAAAAGATCACCAGCCGAGCGTCCCCGTCGAAAGCCGTACTGGCGGTCTGAGATCAGCTGGCGATCCTCTAGGTACCGGAGCAGTTGATGGTTAATAACTGATTCCATGACTTTCGAGAATAAGGAAGTGATAGCTATGGGCCTATAGTTAGCTGGATCTGAGCGGTCTCCTTTTTTAGGGATCGGATGCACCAGAGCAGTCTTCCAAAACTTTGGGACTATACCTGATGAGTAACAGAGCCGAAAAAGACGCGTAAGAACCGGAGCCAACTCTGGTGCGCACGTCCTAAGCACAATTGGAGGAATGCCATCGGGCCCGCTCGACTTATGGATTTCAAGGAGAGAAGTGCTCTACGCACTGATCTTAGCGAATGAATTTAACATCCGGCATAGAGCTCCTACAACGCGGGATGGTCGGCGGTAGTTTCTCCCCGTCATCCAACGTCGAGTTTGATGCAAAGAGAGATCCAAGGAGATCGGCCTTCTCTTTGGCGTTCAGAGCCAACGAGTTATCCTCCCTGCGCAATGGTGGAAAAGATGACTGACAGAAATTCCCTTGTGCAGCTTTGGCAAGAGACCAGAAAGCTCGAGATCCCGAAGGTAAACTAGCCAATCTCTTGCCAATTCTACCAATATGCTCTGACTTCGCTGTGGCCAAAACTCTTTTGAAGGACCTAGAGGCAAAGTTATACTTCTTTTTAAGGGCACTGATGTTAGAATCTCGCGATGCCACACCTTTGGCCCAGGCTAGGAAGCACTCCTGTTTCAGGCGAGATGCTATTCTACAAGAGGCTCCATACCAGGGCTGGGATTTCCCACCGACAGGTACCACAGAGTTAGGAATAAATAATTCCATTCCCTGGAGCACCACATCGGCGATGGAATCGGCGATGGCGTTGGGATCCCCCAGTGCGAAGCAAACCTGCCTCCATGGGTAAGATGCGAAAAAAATCCGCATCTCATCCCAGTCTGCCGACCTGTAGTGCCAAACACGACGTCTACCCGTAGAACGTGGTGGAATCGGACTCATGAGAGGTTTTCTCGCTCCGCACCAGACAGTGATCCGACGATCCAAGCGGAGCTTCGACGGAAATCACATAGTTGTCTGGGTGGGTGGTCAGCAGAAGGTCCAGCAGTGAAGGTGAATGGTCCAACACATCAGGTATTCGCGTGGGCGAGGAAACAAGCTGCGTCAGACCATAAGCCAAAGCAAAGTCATGAACAGATCTTCCCGCATAGTCGGTTGTACGTGAACCAAGCCATTCGGTATGGTGGGCATTAAAATCGCCAAGAATCACGACTTCAGCGGAAGGAATCTGTTCGAGCAGGGAATCTGTAGCCATTTGGACGTGCTCAATGAGTTGGTCGGTTTCGATGTTACCGCTGTGGGACCTGTATAGGCATGCATAGACGCGAGGATGGTCATTGCAGTCTACACGCAGCCATAAAACAGACAGGTCCGTTCCTTCAAGATTTCCAAGGCGGCGACAACAGATATCCTCTCTGACATACGCGCATACACCGGCACGCGAAACAAAACAATGTTCAAGTTTATAACCCGGGTACGTCAGGTATGAAGTTTCGTTTGGAGAGGATATCTGTGTCTCCGTTAGAAAGAGCAATGCCGGCCGCGCCGTTTCTAGGTGGTGGTGGACAGCGTTTAGGTTAGAATGTAATCCCCTGATGTTGCAGAAGCTCACATTGAGCGAAGGGGATGCCGTAGAAATATTGCTCCGTTTGTTACAATGTTTTTTCATGTGACTATTCATCAATCCTATGAACACGAAAAAAATGTACTTACTGGGTTGGTAATTATTATTATTCTTTATAAATTAGTTATTGATTTATTCGAGTAGCCTCATTTTTGTAATAAGGATTTTTACTTAATTTTGTCATTAAATTTGTACAAGTGTTTAATATTTTTTTACATTAAAACATATAATCATAACAAATAGAAATAATGTAAGTAAAGGTAAATTTATCCAATCCTATCTAATATAGCAATCTAACCTAATATACTGTTTTGTGTCTATTAAAACGTAATTGAAGCAGCAAGGTAACATAAGGACTAGCTGCGCTTTTTTATTTTCAGAAAAACTATCACTTAAACTTATATAGTATGATATCTAAATTGAATTTTCGCGTTACAAGGAGTTTATTTGTATCATTTTTACAATTTTGCTATTTTACACAATTATTTAAATTTATTTTTACGACTAAACGCGACGTGAATTTAAATCTACCCGAATAATTCAAATTAAAAGAAAATCTCTTTTGCTAGCCAGTGTTTCGATTCCTGGATTGATCAATATTAATCAAACATACTTCTCTATCTGAAATTAAGTAGTATCAAACCAATAATAAATTAAAAACAAGACAATCACGTTACAGTATTGGCCGCAGTGGACATTCAGCAACATAAGTAGGTGAGCGCGTGTCACGTGACCGCGGAGGGGTTGCGGGTGGGGCGGCTCACTCCTTGAGCTTGTGCCAGTCGGCGATCTGCCGGCGCGGCGCCGCCTGCACCTCGCGCCAGTGGTGGCGCGCGCTGCCCGCGCCCTCCGCGCCCAGCTCCAGCCGCCCGATCACCTGTACACCACACGCCACATTCACATTACAATTTCGCATCTTTAGGTAGATACTCTTTATTTCTAATCCTCCAAGGGATTACAAGAGTAAACTTTTTATACAACTTAGAATGGCAAAGCTGACGGCTCCCCTGATGGAAAGTGGTAACCGTCGCCTATAGGCATAAGCAGTATCATGGACATAACAGAGTATACTGTTTCGCCCATGATACCCTCCCATGCGTTGCTCTGTACCCTGTAAATCACTGCCATATCCCACCCTTCAAACCGAAACAGAGCCATGCACGCACACAAACACAACTGTTTTACGGTTGAAACACGAATGAGACAGAGGTGCCCAGGCAAACGACTTTTATACAAAGTCTCCCTCTGATGAAACTTATTATAGACTAGAAACTTATTATAAATACAAACGATTACAATAATATCAGCGAAAAAACAATAGGCGGCCTCGCTAAAAATGACCTTTTCCAAGCAACCTTTGGATGGAGGGGAGTAATTATTACAATTAATCGATTTTATAAACACTGTTTTTTTTAATGTATAAGTACAAATTCATTTCTCGCATCCATTATATAATTACTAGCTAACCAAGCAAATATGATTTTACCCCTTCAGGTACATGGGCCCATTTTTTTGGTCCGATTGATTTTCCATTTTTCAAGAAAAAATTATGCGCGCGTTGCCGACCCTGAAGAAACCTCTTTAAGAGGTACGAGTAACGTGAAACATTCACATAATAATCATAACGTTACCTCGTTCTTAGTGACTCTGTCCCAGTCGAGCACAAGCAGTTCCAGGGAGACATGGTCGAGGGTGGCGTTGGGCGCGGCGGGCACCTCGAACACGAACGACTCGTTGAACACCGGGTTCAGCGTCCGCTTCTTCACGTGGGTCTTCTTCTTGGCTATGCGCTGCCCGTTGTACAGCAAGTACATCTTTACGTATCTGTAAAGTTTTCAGAATAATTATTTCTGTGTCTTACTATATTAATGAAAGTGCAAACAAGTTGACAGCCAACTTGTCGGAGAGTTGTATCCGTCGTTTATAAAAAGAAAGAATGAAATATTTTTATTTAAGTAAACTTAGATTTTAGCATTATTAAATAGTATTTTTTTCATTATCGCCCATTCCGAACGCAAGTTCAGCCAAGAAGAACGGACAAGAAACTCAGCTGTTGCTTTTTCCAAAAAATTTAATTATATAAGTAATGAATTTGTGCCAATACAAACTACTAAACAGTATTAGATCATAAAATTCAAAATATATAGTACATAATTAAAACAAATCAATAAAATAACTCAGTTGCAGTGACTAGAGCAGACCAGTCTTTACAGGGAGCACCCGTTCACGAGTATGACGGATGAGCCAGCCATCATTGCTTTCAACCTATTATAGGTATCAACGGTATCACGGATATCGTAGTATACACTATGATACCATTTATGTGTTGTCATTCTTGTAGATTGAGAGATAGTGGAAGGAAAAAAAGTGGAACAGAGGAAGCAGACGACATTTGTACAAAGTATCTCTCTGGTATGATACTAGGTCTAATATGTCTTTAATAAATAACTTATTCTTAGTTATTTATCACGTATTTTCTCCGTGTCAGTAGTATTCTGTAAAGTTATGATGTAATTCATATCTATAATCGGTTATCACTTTCCATCAAGTGGACCGTCATTTCTAGTAGTATAAAAAAAGTAGAAGCAACTGACGGGTCAGCGAGTCCGGTGACGTCCATCTTGGGCAGGTTGCGTGCTTTCAGCAGCACGACGGTGAGACGCGCGGCTGCCGGCTGCCAGCACAGCGACACCAGCACCTCGCCGCGGCCCACACTGCGCATCTGCACAACACACAACACACTGTCATGTCAACCCATTAACATCTCATTGTTAGGCATAAGTCGAGGATTTCCCGGAAACCATCATGGTTAATTCCTGGGAAATACATCACGGTGCACCAACTGACTTCATCTTCCTCTATCATCTCTAATTCTACGACCGCGTCTAATTAATAATACAGGCAAATTTACTATTGCATTTTCATAAAAAAAAACACACTGCCTCATCTTCCGATAGTCACGATATATCTGTTTGTGTTGGTCTGGGTGTTTTCTGTGTATAATATGTACAGTAGAATCTCGATTATCGTATAATCGAAAATCCGGAGAATCGATATCAAAGTCAAATCAAACTATTATATATTTTTTTATATTATGTAAAGGGTTTTACATACGTCATTTAGACAATACGATATAAGAAAATGTAATATATAATAACCTATATAATTTAAAATTTTGTTTGGAAATATTAATCTTTGACGTAATTAATCACATCTTTTCATTGCGGCCAAGACCCTGATATGCTTTAGTTGTAACAACTATATGGGATCCGATTCGTCCTGTCTTATCCGTATAATCGAATATTTGGATAATCGATGTTCGGATAATCGAGATTCTACAGTATGTATTCACAAAAAAAAAAAAAGTTTATCTATTAATTGCTAGTACATAGCACAAGTAATATGTCTACTGATATTTTTATTTATGTAACTATAATAATAATAATAATAATAATAATATTCGACATCAGCTGGCTTGGCGCCGGCAGGGCCGTCACAGGCCCAGCAATCGGTGCCCGCCACTGGTGGTACACGTCGCATGAGGTGGACAAGAGCCATGAATGAGGACCTCATGCGTGCGTTCTTCAGGGCTACAGGGACAGAAGGATTCCGGGGCGGCTCACTCCCGGGAAAGATGCAGAAAGCGGTGCTCTTAGATTCTGCCCGCATTGTACGCCGGTTTCTCTCCCTGGGGCCCTGAACCCCGGCCGACTGTGCTTCTGCCGGGGGTTAGTTGCCATCTCCTCTCCTTAAGAGGGGAGATGAGAATTTTGGTAAAATTTAAAAATAATAATATAGTACCTTCAGACTGCGTGGTTGTATCTCGCGACACAGCGCCATTGCTTCTCCGCTCTGCAGTTGCAAACTGGACAGTGGCGCCACCACCTCGCCGATTATCTCATCTCGGGAATATCTAAGGAAAAAAAAACATGAAAATCCATCATTACTAAAGAAAATACTAAACCAGACGATGATTCGATTAAATGAATTAACTTTAAGTGTTTGTTATAATGTAACAGATCCCAAAGCCTGTCCTACTGTGTGCTAGAACCACATTGTAGTATTTCAATATTTACACTCCGACAGGTTCATCAACAGACTCATCATCGTAATCGACACATAATCCAAGTTCCATTATACATTTCCAATGACACGACAAGCCCAAGACATTCTGTGTTTTGGCGACGGTTGCTATATTTTACGAGTATCATGAGCCGTAAACTTATTAGCCATTGTAAGTATAAAAAAAAAATTCACCTGTCAAAGCTGAGGACCACGAAATGGAGTGTGATCGCGGTGAGTTGGTAAGGAGCCAGTCCATAAAACGTGAAATCCTCGTCGTACACAGGGCAGCGAGTTTTGCGCACCACTCTGCAATGAAATTTTATCAAATGTTTAATTAATGAATCCGTTTCATATGGTGATTAAGTAAGAACCAAATGTGTTACTCCTTATTATTCGCCAGACTTTATAAAAGATGAATTAAAAATCAAAGCACAATAAATCAATGTCAGAAAAGGAAATTTGGAAATAAATCACTCTACACCCATATCCTTTTACTAAAAATATCTATACTTAATCTCATAGTATTTTTTATTCAAATCCATTATAGATTTTTGTTTACTTTGCTATAGTCAGTGTTGTGGGTGAAATGGTAATATCCTCCCACACGGCGCAGATGGTATTGCATGAACAGCAATCAGCGGTCAGTTGATCATTATTAATATATGCAATCTACATGATACTATACTATGCCGATACTATAATACTCCATTTTCATAAGATACGAGTAACTTTGTTGAAGGGCTTACGGTTAAGGGATGGGCAGGAGCGTCCCTCTTAAAACATCACTAAAAGCCAAACCACAGTTGCCAACCCGCCTGCCAAACGTGATAACTACTGGCAAACCCTCACTTATGGGGGAGGCTATGTACAGCAGTGGACAGTTAACGGTTAATACAATAACTTAATTTTGAAACTCCTTATAGAGGCAACTTAGAAAACAAATCCCAAAAAACTGGTGTAATAAAAAAATAGCTCGAAATAAAACCCATCAAACCACCCAAAATAATAATGGAAGGCTAATAAAATAAAATAAAATAATGTCCGCCCAATATGAGAAAAAAATCCATGTCCAACAGTGGAACGAGAATGAGTTTTTAAGATGAAGCCATATATTCATAAAATGTACCTGGTCTTGACTTTATGCTGCTTATCCGGCAAGAGCTGGAGCTTGACGTACGGATCTGGACCGGCGGGCTCGCGACCAGGTAGACCCTGGCATGACACCACCGAAACCACCAGCGCATTCTTCTCGTTTTCGTACCTGATAACAAAAGAATACAGTTATCTAGATGATTGAGCATCGAGTCTCAAAAACGGGTCAACTAATTGTCAAATTACCTGACTCTTTGTTTTCAGTGTTCTGTATACTTACGGACATAATGTATCTTGACGTATTTATATTTAGTTATTTAATAAATAAAATTAGTTTTTACGCATTAAAAAGATGCAAAAATTTATAAACATAATAAAGTTATAAAGGAAACAGTCATAACTATTTATTACGCTAAATTGTATGAAAAACTTGACTTGGTTTTCTCGAAGCATTTGCATGGAGGCACTCTACATATTCTAAGACGGTTACATACTCATATAAAGGAAACATCCCTACCTTACAACTGCTACTGTTTTCTATCAGAATTAAAGACATACCTAACTTTTTTATTATGATAACGTAAGAGGTTATATTCATGGTGCTTTACGTGTCTACAGGCAACGGTTACTGCCTACTTTATATCGGCCATTAGCTTGTCTGCCTTTCGTAAAAGAAAGACCCGAGGGAAATTTACTGCTGTCTCAATGACCCAAGACGAATTTAATGAAAATGAAGTCTAGAAGATACATGATTGTAATATGTGACTTACCTCGATTTTGGAAAAAAAGGACTTTATAAATTGACCAAATCAATAATCCAACTTGTTACATAATACAAATAAACGTGCCCAATCTCAGTTCTGCAAGAGATATTTCGTCACTTGTAATTCCTCAAGGAATCCCTTCGAAATTCGAAGACATTCTTAATTCAAAATAACCTTAGGGATGAATGCTCCTCTATTTTGCGCAAAGCAGAAAATCGATGAGCGGAGTGAAATATATCCAATCATAGCCTTCATTTAAATTTACTAAAGCTCAAATAAACAGTGAAATTACTTTACCAGTATAATTTTCTGTTATTAGATTTGTGGAGTGTTTACATATTCCCGAGGTTGTGTGGGCTTCACTAAATGTTTAACGAAGAATTAATGTACATTGTATGTAATGATATGCTGATTTGAAATATGGTCGGACAAAGTCAGCAAAATGGTCCAGTGCTTTCAAAACGTGTAAGTAGATATATTGATTAAATCGTTAATAAACTATGTTAAAATATATTACAAACGTAATTGTTTTTGTGACGAGCGACATGTGAAGAAGAGGCTTAAGTAATTAACTAATTGGTAAAATGGTATTGGCTCCGACACGCAGTATGTGATACAAATGTACAGGTTTAAACTGCACCCATTTCAAAATTATTGAATTTTTATATTTAATAATATTATATATACCTATAGGTATCAAAGTCTGCTTAATATGATGAGTGTGAATCTGATAGCAGTCAGCGTAAAAGAAAATGTAAGTTGACAATATTTCAGAAAAAATACACCGAAAAACTCATTGAATAAATTATCTACCATGGAGTAGGGAGATGCGACTTTATTATAAATTGACTTGCAGTCACGTACAATGATAATTTTTCGATATTTTTTCTTTTGTGATTGCATGAATAATTCTAAATAAGCAAGGTACAAATCTTTCTTTGCGAGACCGAATCCGAAATGCGGATATCCATAAAAGAATTAAAGAGAAGCTGAAGCAAGCTGAAGTGGCAATGGGCTGATAACACAGCTCAAAGAACCGACAACCGATGGGGTAGAAAGGCTCTTGGGTGGCGATCCCGTATGAGCAAACGTAGCGTAAGGTGACCCCCCACTTGAAGGAGTATTGCAAATGTATTGCAGGGAGTCAGCGCAATAAGGTGGTTCAGAACTGAATTGTTTTTCTAAAAGATCATGATTCGTTAGAGTACGAAAAAATTTAGAGTTTCCCATACTAACACGCCGCTGTTCAACTGTTATCTTAGTACTTATAAGAGGCTCTAAATTTTGATCATTCTAACAAAATTTCTATTTCAATATATGTTATAGCATTCTTAGTTTTAAGTACAGCTAACAACTTCGATTTCTCTCTGTAAGGCGCATTAAGGCGTCTATTCCTAACATCATTACCGTGATTAGGAGCTCTATTCAAACACGCCACCCGCTGGTAACTGGCCCATATATGATGCTACACACATTAATTTCACGCGACAGCATAGACATTATACACCTACCTACACAATATATGTATGTATTAGCTTTTATCCACAACATCGTTCGCCCTATTTGACACCTATAGTAGTTAATTTTAATAATGGAATGGTTGTTCTACAGAAAACATTGATATTTAACGAAATTGATAAACTGTTGCGTAGCATTTTAATCTGATGATTATATATATATTTGGTGGGATATGGCAGTGAATTTACAGGGTACAGAGGCATAACACTTTAGTCATTAAGAATGGCAACACATGGGGGGTATCATGAGCGAAACAGTATACTCTGTATGTCCATAATACTGTTCATTTCTATAGGCGAAAGTTACCACTTTCCATCAGGTTAGCCGTCTGCTTCATTGCCATTCTAAATTCTATAAAAAAATAAATTGTTATACCAATACTTCTCAAACGTTGCTTCATTTCTGAAGACTAAGTTACTATACCTTCATAACCTCTGTTTAATCACAAAGACGTGAGTTCTCATGTAGACGAATTTATACCGTGATATAACTAATGTAGTTCGTTGAATGTACTAAGTATATCTTCATATTTAAGTCTAACTCAAGATGTGGACATCATCATTTGCCTCAAGTGCCAGGCGTTTACACAAATTTTCAAATACATAACCAATAATAAGAAACTATTGCGCACAAAAGAGATATATAAAAGGAATATTTATACAAAATGTGCATATACAAAAGGTAAGGCTAAGCTCGCTAAGGCTGCTTTATAGCTAATCGAGTACAAATATCGTCATAAACATAGAATACTGACGGATCTGACAAATATTACATATATAGATCCGACAGTATTCTACGACTATGACGATATATAGAATTTCAGGATAAATGATAAGGATAGCAGACAAATTCAAAGGTCATGTCCAAGTGCTTGTACTTATGATTGCTTTCATGGTCTACCAAGCGTGTAAATCTCACATAACATTTATTAGATATAATTTAAACAGTTAATTTACGTCTACGCTACGTTTTGAGACAAACATTAGTAGGCGTAGAGTTACAGAGTAACAGCAAACATTCAAATAAATACCTATAATTATTCTGTCTTTGATTACAGTCATGACTAAGCATCTTTACACGTTAATATGTAGGACACTGATCACTGCTAGGGATGAAATGTATTATGGTGTATGTCGAGTCATTCTGTGATGGCGAATAAAACATATACTAAAGAAATACACCGTTAGTTCAAGGTCTCATGCAACCTACTTTGAATCGATTATCATGAAATTTGTATGCTTTTTGACTGGCCATTGTTCACTAATGTGCCGTGTGGTTCCCGTATAGAATGAGTTACACCTTCTTTTCTCGGGTGTCGTAGAAGGCGTTTAAGGAACTTAATTGTCGAAAGATGGGCAACAGCGTCCCTCTTAAAACGTCATCAAAAGTTTAACTTCTGTTACCTATCCACCTTCCAAACTTGGCAACTACTGGCAGAACCCCCTTATATATATTTAAAACTTATATAAAAAATTCTTCAAACCGCTGTCGGATTAAAGAAACCAAAAAGATTTCTTTTAAAAAGTTCTGTAATTTTCTTTAAAAACGATGAAAACGAAAACATTTTTTGAACTTTTCACGTAAACGTACAGTGGAGATAAAACTACTTAATTCATTACATAGCGTATAAGAGAATCGAAGATTAGATAAAGTTTTTTTTTTAATTAAATTAATCATTTTAATAACTTTCTATTCTACTTGTTAGTACTTTATATGTAATATTAAATTATTCTTTCGGAAAGATTACGAGATTTGGAATGTAATGGTCTTAGCTTATATAATATGACTTAGTATTCAGAATGAAGCGCCCGTTACATGAGCGCAGTGATCATGTAATATTATGGCCGCTTAGTCGACAACCGCGCAATATAGGATATTATGTGGTCACTTTATCGTTAACAGGAATATCAGGTCAACTACGTAGCTAAATAGTATCATAGCGCAATACAATATATATGTGTAGTTAAATGTCCAAAGGCTTCAATTAGAGAGTTAAAGCAAATACATTAGAATGACCTTCATAACAATTTCACGCCATATCACCCATAGTTCAGCCCAGTAGGTATCATTGATGCTTAACGCCCTTCACGGGCAAAGAAATAAATTACTGTTTGAGAGCAATTCGTTGACTATTTACGCGTATATTAGGTTTTTATTGACAAGTGAGCAGACGTGTACCTGGAAAGCCTTGGGTTTATTGCCAGCCCAATGTCTCGGCAATAAAACGCCACATAACCCGTCTTTATAACCATAGTGACGCGACAGGTAGGGTTTAAAAAGACGATAAAGGAATCCTAACGGAGAACCCTAGTTTATTCATTAAAAGTGACCAATACAATGATTAATAGAACGTTTAAATTATTTGTGAAATCATTTTCAGATATGTTTTATGCAACTTTGAATGGCAAACCAGCTGACGGTTTACCGGTTAACTGGCAGGTGAAACCTTACTATGCAAAAATTATATAACAACAAAATTGTAATTGATGTAACAATTGAGACATTATTTTGGACAATTTCACAAGTAATTAATTAGTAGAACGTAAATTTAACGTAAACATTTGAGTTTGTGAATAATACGTCTGTTAAATTAATTATCAAAATATAGCTTACTATTCACTATGTTCCAAGATAGTTAATGAAACTTCGCAATTAAATCGTTACAAGCTTTACAAAGTAAATTAATCAATGTACAATATTATGGAGGTATGAAAATACTGTATAACAATGTAATTGTATTAAATAAAACGCTAATCTTGACACAATATTATGCATGTATGTATAGTATGTATTTATGTGTATGTATCTATAATGTAAAATATATGTGTATAATGTAGATAATATGAGTATTATATGTAGGTATTTACCAGAGGGAGACTTTGTACAA